TTCTTCATTAGAACTTATATTGATAAGTTTGCATCCTAATTATTACGAGTACAAAGTAGTGATTCGGTAATTGACTCTTGCTTGTTAGGCGTTACGAGAGAAAGACAGCACTCTTATACTAAACGGGAATAGAAGGCAAAGCCAAAATATGTCAGGATTCAACAGAACCGCAGATTTACTATTCCGACTAAGAGTAAGAAACACTGCATGCGGTAAAGGGGAAAGAGAGTAATAAATCTAGAAGGCGAATTTACAACTGCATAAGGGGGGGGTATCTAAGGGGAAGCAAAGTATGATTCAGAGTATGTTCGCTTTGTATGCATGTAGAGGCGTGTTGCAGTGGACACAGGCTTGTGGCCGAATTCGGGGACAAAACGGTGGTGCAACGACTCTAAAACTGCTTTCGTCTTCCAGCCGCGGATGACTCAAGTGGAGCCGGTCGCTGACGCGTCGATATGAGTAGTCATTTGTGGGTGGACAGATCTCCGGCCCGGAGGCGTCGGTCTGCCCGAGCTCCGGTCGGCCGGAGTCCGGTCGAGGCGACCAGATGGTTGCGCACATGACGCTCGAGGTTGGCGCGCTGGCCGAAGCGCTTCATGCAGACGGAGCAGTGGAAGGGTCGTTCTTTCTGGTGGATGTTGCGTATATGGCGCTGCAGGTTGGAGCTGATGCTGAAGCAGCGCGGGCAATAGGCGCAGCGGTATGGCTGTTCGCCGGTGTGTGTGCGGATGTGTCGCGTCAGGTTGGCCGAACGAGGGAACATCTTCCCGCAGAACTGGCAGTGGTAGCGCTCACGACGCAGGCCCGACTCCCGGTCCGATTCGGCTTCTTCGGAGTCGGCCGCAGCGCCGGTCTCCAAGCTCGGCCGAGGCCGGACGGCTTCATCATCCGAGTCTGCGCTGGAGGCCGGGATTCGACGCGGCGGCGGCGGCGGCGGTTGCGGTCGCCAGGCCGGACAGCCGGTCCGTCGAGCCAAGAGGCCGTCGGGTACAAAGTCCGGGGCCGAGATGAGCGTCTCCACGCAGTGCGCCGGTCTCGGATCCGCCCGAGGCAGCATCTCGGCTGGGGCCCCGGCCACACCGTGGCCCTCCTCTGTCCGGCGGGTCAGCAGATGGCCG